TGTGTTAAAAAAAATAATTTGTATTTGTAATTTTTATTAGTAATCAAATATTTTTGTTTTCCGTTTATGTTTAAGGTTAAAAATACAATAATACATTAAAAAAAAATCAACACATTAAAAATGCCCTTTTAGTAATTTTGCATTCACGAATCATATTGTCATTCACAAATATAAGATAATCACATCGTACCCAAATCACATTTTCATTTATAATTTTAACTAATCGCATCGCTTCCAAATCGGATCGTTCCCTCACACGAATCGCAGTCACACCCAAAACGGAGTACCATTCGGAGTCTTAGGCGACGGTGGCGCAAGAGGAAACATATCAGGACTATCATTCATCATTTTGTCACTTCTAATACTAATGTTTTCGAAAGCTTCAAGCTCAAGATTGGTATCTGGTTTCTTTCCTGAAATGTCTTCTTCCTCTGGAGTGATCATAACGATATTTGAGTTATGTGAATTCTCGGTGTCTACGTACACTGTCTTCTCCAAGAGAGAGCTAGTCCAACCATTGCTTCTTGGGTAGAGTAAGTCCTGAGACCAGCTTATGTTTCTAATATACTTGTTCAATATGTTAGCTCTCAGGTTCTCTGTCTCCTTACGAGTGTCAGGATGCAACGGAGAACCGTTACTTGTAGTGCGAAACGGTGACATACAGCGAGTGTGTCTGTAAGGAGATYAAGACCTACTTGCAACAGATTCAGAGTTGAACTTCTTCCCAACGTTTTGGTGTACCGGCGATTGATCTTTACCACTCAACTTCTGCTTAGAAACTGAATCAATAGCCATCTTAAAAAATGTACAAGAGCTAATAGTCAGTGAGTGTCTAATCAGAACRATAAGAAACTAATAGGAGTTTAAATGTGGAACCTTTTTAATAGATTGGAGTCGAGATTTGAGCTGAGCAACTTTGCTTGACTTCACTTGATCATGGCTTGGGAAACTTACTGAAGAGTTGTGTGTTAGCTTTAAAACCAGGGACTGTGTTAAGCATTCCTAGAGAGTCTTTAAAGCACAACTGTGGCAACATTCCACAACCTCTCTTCGAAGAATAGGCGTACTCGGAAATTTCATCGTCTTCTTCACCATCCTCCTTGAAAAAACAGGAACCCTAACACAAGATGCAAACAGAAATATAGTGCAGAACACAGGGCAGTTCCAATAAAAACACTCAGTCTTTATTGCTATTCCCCGCAGGGCACAACAGCTGATACACGACACAGCTGTTGCAACATGGAGATTACACAAACACTTCTATAGAACAGATTCTTAATCTAATTCTAGCCAGAGTTACGCGACATCACACACACCGTGATTTGCTCCTGAACAAATCTACCCAACACCGCAACGCAACAAACAGTCACGAAGCCTCTCCTTTTCTCTCAACACAACAAAACCTCTTTGCTTTGTTTCTGAGATCTCCAAGAGCTATTTTTGGGAGAGCCAACAGCATAAGGTCAGCCTCCCACTCCTTTTATAGTAGTAGCAACCAGCAACTCCTATAACCCTAAAAACAGCTCCCTCTTAATCCGAAAGGGCAACAGAACTGTTCCTATGTATGTCAGACCACTAGTCCCATCAACCTTTGCTCAACAGTAAATAAACCCACTTGCACTTTGACTTTGTGCACTTGTGTCAGAACGCCTTGTTTCCTGGACCAAGCTTCTCGCGTAAGCTTCCTGGTAGTGCGGTTCCCAACTCGAGGTGCCACCTGGCATGCCTAGTCACAGAAGACTTTTCTCCTTAGTTTGCTGATTATTCCTTCCAGCTTCTGTGTAGCACATGAACTCTTCACTGCTTCACTGATCCTGTTGTTTTAGCAGATTCTTCTGCACTTACACTCCTCACTTTCTTCATCATCATCTATGTTTACACTCCTCACTTTCTTCATCATCATCTATGTCTTGGTGGGGAACTATAAACTCATTATACCTATTATGAGTTTGTCGCTTCTCCTCTGGTACTAAATCTCGTACATGTATAGTTGGTTCAGACATAAAACTGGTTGGTTTCCGATTCGAAGCATAATGATGAGGATGCTCAACATTCATGGCTTTAGCAGCTGGTAAAAAACGATTCAACATGAAATCCTTAGATTGAGGATCATATCCACCACTTACACTATGATTCACTGAAAAAGAGTCATTTGGAGATAATGTATCAAGAGCATCAGAAAACACATCATCTTGTGATTCTTCATCAACCTTTGAATTCTCCAATCTTGTGAAGACTTTCCCTGGTGGAAGAAGACATGGTGGTGTGAAGACTTCCTGCTTAGTGGTCGAATCAGAGAAATCTTTGGACCTTAATCTTTGGCCAGGAGCTTGCTCCCATGTGAAAGGAACAGAAGCAGATTCAGTACTAACATGGTGATCTAAACAAGTCTCTGAGACAAGAAGAGGAACATTTGTCTTAGAGCCATCATCATCAATGGAATTACTAGTCTTGTTTCTACGAACAGAGACTCCTCATTTCTGCATCATCCTTCTTGTTGAAAGAAGAGGTACGTTGAAGTTAAGTTTACTCTCCGCCATTGAAACTGTTTGGAATGTGGCTCACAAACCAATGAAACTCATAGTTTTATAGAACAGATCTGAAAAAAATCCAACACAATAGTTTTGAGTAATGAAAGATTTGTATCCATACAAAAACCATATAATGATAATCACAAAGAATGATTATTCTAAAGAATGAAGAAACAAACAAAAAGAAAAGATCTCTCTGTGAACTTTTCCTACTTGAGACTTCATATCTATATATAATAGCAAACCCAAAAAATGATTATTTATTGGTTGTGTCTTCTCGGTTTATATATAGTAATTGTTTTTAAAGATCGCATATTTTCGAAAGGTTGTCTTTTTGTAAAAAACCGTTTGGTGGTTATTGCTAAAAGTTGCATCTTGTCGATATAACCGTTTTGTCAAAACTTGCGTCTTTTCGATATAACCGTTTTGTCAAGAGTTGCGTCTTTTTGACATAACCGCCTTATAGTTATTTTTAAGGGTTGTCACTTTTCGAAACAAACCATTTCGCCTATATATATCTTTTCACTTTTTATCCCTTTGACCATTTTGTTAATAATGCCTATTAATTTATTTAACACATAGCAAAGATTAAAAAGCGTTGTTCGATTATTTTCAAATTATTTAATAGTATTAATCTTTTTAATATTGTAAAAGTTTCAAAAATTCTTGCTTTGTGGAAATAATTTTGGACTTTTTTTACAATGCATATTTTATGGCAAATTTTACATAAAAAAAACTAATAAAATCTCCAACTATATATTTCTCGGAAATAGGTGGTACATATAGTGAATTTATAGTTTTAACAATTCTCTACGGAAACATTGATTTTTTATATTTGAAAGAAGTTCTTACGGGTTGTATACATCGAAATATTGAAGCCACGTTAACATTACTACAAAAGAGGCACCCACAAGCAATTTATTTATCAACTATATTTTTTATATATATTGGACGATTTAAAAATGCTAAATTAAAAAATGAATCAATTTAAATGGCATAAAGATCCATGAATTGTTCTACTAGTTAGATGAATAGCTATGATTCCAATCCGTGAAATGAGTGAGGAAGGAAAAACGTTTTTTTTTTGTGGGCCAAGGGTTACGTTTTTATCATATAACCGATTTTACAAGAGTTGTATTTTCGATATAACCGCTTTATGATTATTTAAGATTGTGTCTTTTTGGAAATAACCGTTTACTTGTTATTTTCAAGGGTTGCGTCTTTTTTATATAACCATTTTTTAACAATTGTGTTTTTTTTCTATAACCGTATAATGATTATTTACAAATGTTGCATCTACTATATAGATAACCGCTCTATGATTGTGTTTTTTCAAAAATAACCGCTTTATTGTTACTTCCAAAAATTGTGTTTTTTCGAAAAAAGTCGTTTATTGGTTATTTTGAAAGATTACGTCTATTCAATATAACCACTTTATAATTATTTCTAAGAGTTGCATTTTTTATATAACCTCTTTTTCAAAAGTTGCCTTTTTATATAATCGCTTTATGGTTATTTAAAATTGTATCATTTAGGAAAAAAAATCGTTTTCTGGTTATTTCCAAGGATTGCGTCTTTTTAATATAACCGCTTTCTAATTTAATATGTAGATAACCGTTTTACGGTTGTGTTTTTTCGAAAACAAACGTTTTATGGTTATTTTAGAGTCTCACAATAATAATAATTCTAGAATTTTTTTTTCAAGGATCACGTGTATCAATAATAGCAATCCTGGAAAATATATTTTAGGATTTTTTTCTTTTAAAAATTAATTGTTTGATGTTTATTAACGCTAGGGTTGTGTCTTTCCAAAAAATTTTTTTATGGTTATTAGTGTCTTTTAGGGTTATATATTTTTGAAAAATGGTTATTCGTGTCTCTTAGGTTGCGTCTTTTAAAAAAAAATGTTTTACGGTTATTAATGTTTCTTAGGATTGGATTTAAAAAAAATTGTTTTATGGTTATTACTCTCTAAGCGTTGCATCTTTTAGATTTTTTTATGGTTAGCAATGTCCCTGAGAACTGTGGCTTATAATATTTTATGGTTATAATATTTTTATGGTTAAAATTTTTTTATGTTGCGTCACATTCTCATAATATTTTGGTCTTTTCATTTATAACAAATTTTCTATAATTCTAAGAAAATAGTTTGTAGTATCGTGCGTTTGCATATACTTTTTCATCTTTTTATTTATAATATTAAAAAGTTAAAAAATATTTTACATTTACATTGTATACTTATTAATTATCATATTTAATATATTTAAATTTTTTTTAACAAATAACGTTTTTCTCCCGCGATTTCGCGGGGGTTCAGTCCTAGTAATTCAAATAACGGAAAGTTAACCAAAACAAATAAAAATAAATAATGCAATGTATTAAAAGTAAAGTAGGGGTTCAGTCCTAGTAATTCAAATAACGGAAAGTTAACCAAAACAAATAAAAATAAATAATGCAATGTATTAAAAGTAAAGTAACCAAGTGTTGAATGATCAAGAGAATGTTTTTTAAAACTCAACAAAGTTATTCATCACTGATAACTGATAGACAAGAAAAGTTAACCATCATATATATTATTTTTTTGTTAAATAAATGTAAAATTTTTATTCATAAAGAAATTTGTTACATCAAATGCATCGTAG